TATGAATAGTCCCAAGACGGACGAAAAGTACTTTAAAATGTTAAAATGTTATTAAACCAGTGCTGAAATCAGTTTGTGTCGGCATACCTTTTTTTATCTTTTCATCATTTACCGTGAAACAAAGTAGTGCAGCTTTGCGGTTGTGCTAATAATTTTGGATATATATATATATATATATCCAAAGATATTATTGTATTCCGCCAAGCTCTATAAAAGTTATTGAGCTTGTCGGAATATAATAATACAAACCCAAAGATATTATTTTATTCCGCCAAGCTCAATAACTTTTATTGAACTTGAGTTATTGTGCTTATCGGTATATAATATCCTTGGGTTTGTATTTTAAGGCATAGAGTGGGCCAGATTATGTTTATGATTACTGTGATGAAAAAGAAGATATCACGTAATAAAAACAAAACAAAATGTCCTTCAGCAACATTCGTTTTTTATAAGCATCGCTTGTTTATTTTCAGGGATTGGAAATGCCTGTATCTATGGACCAAGCTTAGTAATGATTGGTAAATATTTTAATAAACGCCTGGGTTTAGTTACTGGTGTTGCAATAGCTGGAGGAAGTGTTGGACAATTTACAATGCCACCAGTTGTCCGACTACTGTTTGACAATTATGGTTTACGTGGGGGGCTACTATTGTTAAGTGGCATCATGTTTCAGTGTGTTATAACTAGCTCTCTAATGAGACCCACTTCGTATTATACATCTGAGCAGTCGGAAAGCGCTTCTTCACGTTTGGGTCTTATTTTTAAGAAAACTGCTAAGAAACGTGAACTATCAGAACACCTTGATTCCAGCGACCTACGAAAAGTGGACAGCGATGAAGGTTCTGACAAATGCTATTTCAAAAACATTATTGATTTGTCACTATTTAAAAGTTTGAAGTATATAATGTTGGTTTCTTCTACGTGCTTTGGAGTAGTTGGTGCAATCTTTGTAGCAGTTTATATCCCTGGTCACGCAAATGACCTCGGTATTAACGACCAGGATGTAGTATGGCTGATGACCATTGTCGGAGGTGCAGATTTGATAGGGCGTATAGCTTGTGGTGCACTGGCTGATAGCGGACTTATACAACGATACAACATCTTAGTAATATCGTTTCTTCTGAATGGCATCCTTGCTATTATGGTACCATTATTTACCGAATTTTGGCATCTATCTGTTTATTGTACGGTTTACGGACTCTTAGGAAGTTTCTACTTTTCTCTTATCTCCTTGGTCTTAAGAGATTTGTTTGGACTAGAAAAGTTACCGAAAACGTTAGGAGTCTTGTTCTTCTTTGAAGCTATAGCCAACGCTATTGCACCGTTTATTTTAGGTAAGTATATCAAAAGTGTATTGGGGTTCTTTCTAATTTATAGAAATTGGCCATACCAGGAATAATCAAACTTGTTCTTATTGTTTCTTATGCCTATAAGGGGATCGACCCTGCTGACAGTTTTAATCTCCTTTGTTTCAAACCACCACTGTACATGAACCGGTTCCACATTGTTTGCTGGTCTACAAATTTGTAAAGACGACAGCTATTAAGAGGAAACACCATTGCGTGTGGTTTGTGCAGATCTGTACAAAAGGTTTAAAAGTGCAATGGATATTCGCAACTTTTCAAACCATGTTCCCACATATTATAACACGGGTTAACAACGAACAACCGAGGTACTTTGGCAGCTAGAATTCGAAAAAGGTATAACGAAAATTTCGTCAAGGGGCGCAAAATTTTGTTGTGTCGGATTGCCTAGAATCAAAGATGTTTAATTTTATTCATTTCAAATGGTATAATATATTTATGTTTAGAATTAGTTCAAATTCCAGTGCTAGATGTTTTTAACAACGAGACAATGGGGCCATAAACCAAGATGTTGCCTATCATGGGAATAACGGTGGCTATCATTATGACGCTGGCCCACCAATCAGTAGGTTCCGGGTTCAATGCTGATGTTGGTCGAGAAATACTCTTGAGAATTTCCAGTCTGATTCACACTTGTCAGTCTAGTTGTTCGAATTGGACGTGTACGTAAAGAACCATTGATAAAGGAAAGGGGGAAACGCACATTACCTGGCATGTCATCGTCTCAATTAACCCGGTTAATGCAGAAAGGTAGGGCATTACATCCCATTTCATTTCGATTAACTATATTCAACTGTATTTTTCAGGGTCTCTACGTGATACAACTGGCAACTATTTGGCTTCCTTCTATTATATGGGTGGTACTTCTATTGTGGCGGCACTTATACTCTTTTCAGTAAGATTTTTAAAACAAGCAACCACTCCTACGGACTATGCAACAGAAATGTCCGATATGAACAATAAAGACACATGTGAACGTTTATTAGAACCGTTATAAATAGTTCAGTGGCGGTATTAATCAGGTTACATTGATTGATGATCATTCGGGAATACAAATGAATTAGATTAGATTAGATTAGATTATCTATGTGAAAATAAATATAAATAAATCAATACAAGGCAATGACGCTCCTGTCTTTAGCCAAGCAGCATTGCCGCATTATTTTGAGAGGAGGAAATTTCAATAATTTATGTCATCAGATGCAAAAATTTAGTACGGTGTTCAATCCGTGGAAACATTAGACAATGAGAAACGAACAGCTATATTAGCTGATTCATTAATGCTTGACTGTAGTTTAAAGTACAGAATCCAGTGATCGAATTCGACATGAGGAAATGCATTGTAATCGGTTATTGATTTTAAAGCATTGTTTATAGCGGGTGTATGAAAACAGGATGTCAAGGACTTTTTCCCTGATAATGAATGAAAATATAGCGAGGGTATAGTTTGACAGACTGGTAAACTTGGCAGGTAGTTTTGTCTTCAAAGCCGACTTCATTAGCCCAGTCGGAGCAAAACAGTATGACGTTAAACCCCATTTCATTTCATTTTTCTTCAAAGAATTAACTTAGATTTAAGGGCACAAGCATCCATAAAGTTACCAGCAAATTGGAGCAAAATTCAGTTTTCAAATAAAATGCAGTTCTACACGAAGATTCGTGAGCCATTATCAGTGACATACATGTAACAAAACGTATCCCAATAGACAAATGATGTATAGTGTAACCAATGACATAAAATAAAAAAACACGGAAGAAGTAATCAACACAATAGATAGTGAAGTTCCTAAATTGCAGATGACGCCCAGCATAATGTGACTCTCGGACAAAATATTCTGTGGTTAACCGCATCGAATATATTGTGTGGATGAAATAGCAGCTTGGTGTTAAAATATGTTGGCACTAAATGACAGTAAGATCTAAGGATGTCATTTACTTGTACAGTGCAAATTGGTTACCATAGCACATTCTTTCTGGAATCCTCTGCTGGTGTAATGATGTTCTCAAGTGGAACAGTAATAGACACCCATGACAGTTTCTCACTTGGTATATTCAGAAAGTTCTTTAATCATTCAATGCTAAGAAAATGATACATGCATAGGTGTCATTGATCGGACTAACGCATAAGTCTGTTCCATGGATAATAGTACAAGAAGTGTCAACATATTTAGAATGCGGTTGCACATTTAGTAGTAAGAAGATCGCTTCCACAAAACACAAACATAACCTATAAAGGAACTCCAATGGCTACCAGTTTAGGAGGCGTGAGTTTTATGCATATTCTCAAACGGATCAATTACTGAGACCGCTCCTGTCTACCGCCTACAACCGATCAATATCGGTCAACCTGTTCGAAGACATGGAAGTGGTGATGGCGCATCGCTTGCCTACCCAGCTGTCGGTCCGCATTCATCTCGAGCTTATGGTGCTCGAGCTTGTAGTGTATTGGGACCTCAATATGGAACAGCATGTCATGTGCAATGAGATTAATTAACAGTTTGAATTCTTTAAGCCTATCATTTTAGAATATATTTCCCGTGAAGTGCATGTTAGCTTTATTAATTTTGAAGGTAACATTTTTAAAGTTTAAATGCTAATTTATTATGTGTTTACAGCGGTTCTGGTATAAATCTTTAAAGTTTAAAAGTTAAATTTTTGTTTTCCATGGCTATTTTTAATGACATGAATGTACATATTTAAAGTTACAAGTTAAATAGTGTACAGTGTCTTGACATTTTGTTTGATGTGATTCAGTGAATCTCTTATTTTAATTATTATTATTAATAAAAACTGGATATTAACATCTGTACCAAAGTCATATATATTTTCCTGATATATTTCGTAATCGATGGTATTATCTGATCAGTAAGTTGTTGTAGGGCTTAAAGTCCGCTTCAATTCAATCCTAATTTTATATATATATATATATATATATATATATATATATATATATATATATGCGTTATCTGATAACCCACACATGGTACATCCGGCAATTAAGCTGGTCTACAGATAACAACTAAATTCACGACGTAAAATACTTCAATATGCGTGGTTTTCATTTAAGTAATGTGAACCCGGATGTGTAAAATATTTAAAGGGGATTATCTTCCGCCTCTGAAACCAAGGTCCAAACAATTTATGAAAGTGGTATTAAATGGTATATAAAAAATATGCATCTCCACCTCGGAAACAAATCTGAGCAATGATTTGCACTTTGATTTCCACCTTTTTCATAATTGAAATATTTACTTTTCCTGGATTGCATACATGCGTATTAAATACTTACTTAGTGGACATTTCTGTACTGGAAAATATAAGATCAAAGTTATGTACAATCTTGATATCAATTAAGTTGCTCATTTTATAACTCTTGCATTGTGGTACACCTCTTGAGGTGCATATAATACAATACGCCATTGAAAAAGTACTAACTAGATATCCGTAGACGTTAAACAGAAACACAAACTACTAGATTATGTCATCGGACCTTATTTGGGAAGCATGGGAGAACAAATCTGAAATAACATATGTCAGTATTTTAATTAGACTGGTCCCGCGTCCTATCAAAACACTTCAGTAGGATTTAGAAAACTATACGATGGATCTTTAATGACACCGTGACATTAAATAGGAAGAAGACAGTCCATTATGACATTATATGAAGATGCGTGTCACAAGTTTTAATGAAATTATTTCGACTGGCCAGTTAGGTTTGTTGGAATATCCATATTCGTATTAAGGATAAAATACATTTGAAGTTCGGATTTGAGGTGCCCTAGTATAATCATATCATGTAAGTAGAATTTGGTTTAGTAATTAACTGGATTCGTCTCCTGCGAAAATACAAACTTGATCGGTTTCTTTGCTATACATCAGTGTACTAACCTTCAATCAGTGTACAAACTCTGCTATGAACAACGGCGTATCAAACTGCCAATAAGATAATTTCAGATTTATTTCGACGATTTATTGAGATGGCGATCGAGGGCAGACGAAAATATTAATTCAAACGACAGCTTGGTTATTCTCTCAATCTAGTTTACTGTTAATTAGAAATAGAACCAAACAATTAACTAACTCAATAAACGTGATTGTTGCTAAAATAACCATTTTATTGGGTTTTTTTTAACAAGACAATTTGTATTATTTTACGTAGTTATTTCTTGTAATTTTCCATACAGTTTTAACAGATGTTTGTGGATACGTGCCACCGTATGATCTGTCCGATATGGAAATGATATAAAATTTGATTTAACGTCCTACTGGGCTAATGAATACGGGCATGTAATACAGAAGTTTCATTCGATTCTTCTGTTCCTAAAGAGTTAACTGACACAAGCCAAAAAACGAGGGAAGGATCACGATTTGGACACCAGCCATGTCACAATTGTAAAAAGTTTACTTTAAGCATGGCCATGGAATTTGTATGTCAGTATGGTCGATAGATAGATTTATTTGGCACAACATAAAAAAATCAAATGATAAATTATTATTTTAGAACTAATTTGGGCACCCCTTTAAAACTGGGGCTCCTCTCTTGATTGAATAAATAAAACTCTTAAAATATTAACTCGCGACTTTTTCTGCAGGGATTTGTGCCAAACTCCCAAACATCGAGGTCCAGGGCGAGCTGTTTTCAGGGGCGATTGGAAATATATAATTGGAGATATATGTTGTTTTTTGTCAAAATTACTAAAATTGATCTTCGTATCAACTGAAAAATACAATTGTCTCAATCCGAGGAGAAAAATGATCTATGTGTGAGGTGCAGGAATAGTGAGAATCAAACTAGTTTCGTTGACCGATGATGCATGTACGTACATTGAACGCGCTTGACTTTTAGTATCGCTCGATCTGTTTAGAACAAGTGAAGGGCAGCAGGAAAGTTGCTGGGCCACGAGTTTGTCGTTGGGGCAATGGGAATATGATGACATGGTACGGACATTTGCATGAGTATTTGAGGTAACCCAGCACGCCTCTGATTAATATAATTATTAAAACATGGACATTTTCTTATGTTTTTATTTGCAGATATCTGCCCTGTTCAGGCAACGCAGTAATCTACGAAACATGAATGAAACCGGAATCGGCAATGATACTTTTAACAATTTAACGGATACACTATTCGATTACCATTTTCCCTTTAACGAGTCAACGACTACTGACACTAACTCAACGGCTAGATTTTTTAACTACGCAACAGCGGCTTACAACATATTGCTATTATCAATAGGCAGCATTGGTAATATATTGGTGTTGATTGTTTACGGGCTGCGTTTTAAAAAATCCACGTTCAATACATTCATTGTTTTCTTGGCGGCCATGGATCTGATCTGTTGCGCTATAGAAATGCCCTTAGATGCAGCCAACATGATCCATCAAGAAATCATTCACGGATGTAAGGCAATAGTTACCATAGCAACCACGACAGCGACTGCTACCGGATTAACCCTGGTCGCTATAGCAGCATTACGTTACAGGGGTATATGTCATCCGTTAAAACCTAACATTTCTATATGTCAGTCTCGTATTATTGTGAGCGTGTCATTTGCTATTGCCATTTTTTGCTGTTGGCCAACTGGCGTTCTAGTAACAGACCAAATTGATCACATTGAGGGAGGCCTTGGTGTCATAAATTGTGCACCGGAAGACAGATTTGTAGACACAATTTATCCAGTGATTAATAGTGGTATTTTGTTCATAATTTTCCTATCGGCATTTTCTGCTATTGTTATTCTCTACTTGATGGTAGCAAGGAAATTGTGGTTGCGCAAGAAATATGGAATATCGTCGAATTCGAATCATAAAACATCCAATCAAAGCAGTGATTCGTCTACTAGAGCCCTGTTCAGTAAATCTGACAATTCGGGTGGTTTGCAAAAAGGTGTCGTGAGTACTCAAATTGCAAACAGTCAACAGAAAGTACAGAGTGGAGATTCCAGAAATACGAAGCTAAAAAATCAAAGCATGTTCAGAATGTTGTTTGTAGTAACGGTGATGTTTATGGTTAGCTATGTTCCTCATTTTTCTCTGATGATATACGAAGGTGCGGCAGGAAAACTGCAGTTGACCTCAGTGACTGAGAGTGTTGTGGGAATCGTTATCAGATCTTACCTTATCAACAGTGCTTGCAATCCGATTATTTACGGTTGCTGTAGCAACAAATTCCGAGAAGAGTTAAAAGTAATGTTTTTCTGACTAAAGTAACTAAAGTTACTTCAACACTTTGTGGACCCAGTATTGACAGATATCGAAGAATTTCTATTTTGATAAAGTAACTATTATTTTGTAAATATTGTATTTACGTGTCTTTACAAGAATTTTGAGGTTTGAGAGTATTATTGATGAAGCAATACATGACATCTACCTACAATATACTAAATTCCATTAACTTTAAACCAACAAAAAATCACAATTCTGTAAAACAAAATTAACGAAGTCTCGTACAAAATTATATGATATTATATTGATGTTCTGCATTAATTGTATGTATATATTATTGTTAAATTTTAATTGAGTTTGCGTTTTAGACTGCTTTGCTAAATGCTAAGAAAACAGAGAAAAACCAGACACTAATATGTTTATTTATAACCAATATCCCATGAAGTGAACTCTATCCTGGAACATATATTTTGGTCTGTATCTTTCGCGTATATCATGCTTCTCGACGGCCACGTTAACTGTCAATGTTTTTTCCACAACGCCAAGGGGGGCATTAGATATTTGTTGGCGCCAATGTGATACTGAAATATGTCTTTTTATGGAGAATAAATTACAGACTTCTTCTTTATCCAATCTAATGTTGAAAAATGTCGTGTGGTGAACATATCACTAATCATCAACTGGAATTCATCCAATATCCTCAGCCTGTAGGGGTGTGTGTGTGTGTGTGTGTGTGGGGGGGGGATTTCACTTAAAGGACAAAGTTGGTGTCAGCTAATATTAAATGTGTGATGGAATTGGTTAAACACATTTCAAATATAATTTTAACACAGGGATATTTTGCTACGGTAGTGCGTACCAAAGGTTTGTTTGAAGAAGCGGGAGGTGACGAAATATATTCTCATATATAACTGACTGAAGTAGAGAGCGATAACATATTCATGTTATATAACATTACCCCCCCCCCCCCCCCTCTTTTAAAGGCAAAAAGTTGTTGTATTAGACTGTGAGACGATATCTGTTAGAAACTAACAATTCATAAAAGAATTGGCTATCAGGAGATAAGAGAAAGCGAGAAAAATAGAAAAAGTACGTGCATTCCCTTGTTTTTATTCATTCTCTACTTACACATTTTAAGCGATAATTACATACTATTATTTTTTTCTTAATGCCACACTTGTGCCATTTGTAAAATAACCCAGAGGACACATATCAGTTCGACCATATCAGTTTCCATGGATATCGTTCTGATAAACCACAGCCTATAGCCAAAAATGGTTATGTGTCTTTTTTTTTTGGAATTACAATTAGCATTGTTCAAGCCGTATTTTATGAAAATCCATGCTGGCATAACTGGGAAAATTCGACTTTTGTTGTCATCAGCACCCTTTATTATCATGCTTTGGGGCCAAGTTTGGAACAGAACTGGTAAATAACATTTAATATTTTTTGGTGATTATTAAATAATTTAATTTATCACCCCAAATAACAAAAAATGTCATATCTTATGAACAAAAAATTACAGTGCTAGCTTTAAAATGTGCATTTTATACTGCTCAACGCCCTTAAAAGCTACGACTGTCTCAGCCACATCTGACAGATACCTATTTGAATTTTTTGTTCGTCAAATTTGTCAAAATACCAACGTTTTTGTGAAATTGTTATATTTTTATTTACGCATAACTTCACAATCGCAACACGGCGAACTAGTCAAGAGAGAAAACAGTTTAGGCTTACTGCTTAGTCAATAATGCTTGGCCTAGTTACACTGATGAATATTGTGCTACTATAGAAATAGATCAATATATTTGTTTAAAAACCGAGACAAGCATATTCATTACAGAGTCATGTGAATTACCTTGAGATTACAGATAGCAATTCTGCGTGCGACTGGACGCCATCTTTATTCCTTTGCCATCAACAACAAAGCAATTGAAAACTTCTAGCGTATCCAGATTAAATTTCAGGCCCGATTTCCACATTTTAAGTTCCTTTGTAATTTTCTTTTTCGTGGGTGTGTTATTTCAGGGCAATTTTAGTATGCCGGATTGGTAGAAGCTCCGGCTTCTGAAATCAACGTCTGATTGGTAATCTTGAGTACAGGACATGCCCAAATTGTCGATGAAGTTTCAATAATAGTTTATTCTTGTCTTCTTTAGAAATATTGTTGTCATATCGGCTTACTATCAAAATATTGTCAATATTGTCAAGCCCCCAGATCAACACATTAAAAGTGTATTTTAAATTGACAGGCATGAATGATGAACACCAAAAATTGTCGCTGAAGCATGTTTTAGGTCAATAACAGCTTCAAGCTTTTTGAGATAAGATAATTTTCGTATAACGGACTCGGTATTGAAATGTATGATTACGTCGACACAATCTGGGTGGTATCTAGAAAACGTTGAGAGGTACTGTGAACTCAAATTATTATGTGCCAGGTGTCGCAGGATGTCGCCCCCGCCCGACCGATACATTAACTAGTACATTGCAGAAATTAGTATCGAAAGCGATTTAACGCATACTCGAACGATGTGGTTGTGTTTTCTTCTCTTTTTTTTTTAAAAAAAGAGAAAGTTATAATGTATAACAATTTAAGCCAACGGTGAGGTTGGTGTCCCCCGCCGAAATCCCAAAATAAACAGATGACACATATTAATTAATTGCACATTTATCTTTTTCAAAAGTATCGTGTAATCAAACTGATTATCTATGCTTAGTCTAAGGATAAAACGTTCACGATCAAACTCAGTCAGGTTTTGAAGTACCTGGTAGTGAAACTGTACACCAAGTTTCATCACTCTCCTTAAGTTAAGAATCAAAGTTATCTTGTAAGCATCGACCAATTAAATTGCTTCGCCCTGCTTAGCTTTAGCAGAAAATATTAATAACTGAACTAATAATTCGCCCAATGAACATCTACACCTCAATTAAAAGTAGTGATGTTATGTTTCAACGTCTTGACTAAACTACTTATCGCTACTTAGCCTAGTCAGAAAATTTCCACCATCGACCTTAGTCAATGTATTATAATGAATCTATACCCAGAGTTTCATCGCTCTCACCCAATTAGAACCAAAGTTATCGTGTTCCAAAATCTCAACTAATCAAATTACTTATTTCTACTTAGCCTTAGTGTAAAATGCGCATTCATGTCCGAACTATGGCAAGGCATTCATCTAACAGACGGCTAGATCTATTTCATAGGGCCGACCTTAAGTTTGATCAAAAGTCACAAAATGTACACAGGGCTAGCGCTAAGCCTAACGCTGGACCCAGCCCTAACGCTAATAATAACGTGCCCTAACCTTATTTACATCTCAGCGACCTTGAATGAAATCTTGAGTTGACCTTAATAAATAGATCTAGCGCCTTATAGACATCTATACCAATTTTGAACATTCTACCTCAGATTGATGCCTAAGCAGAAGATGCTCAGCATCAGACTTTAATGTATTAATGTAATGAAACTATACACGAAGTTTCACTATTATCACTCAATTAGAATCAAAACTATCGAGCTCCAAGGTCTTGACCAACCAAATTGCTCTGCTTACCTTGAGCCGAAAATGCTCATTATCGAACTTAGTCCAGGTATTGATGTAATGAAACTGTATACCAGTTATCGTGTCCCAAAGCATCAACCAATCAAATTACCCAGCAAGGCATTCACCTAATAAACACCTACATTCTAGCCCAATTATATAGAAGGAAAGTTATTGTGTCCCAAAAAGTGTGACGGACAGCCTCATTTTAATAGCCCCCTGCTTTCTTCGAAAGGCGGGGGGGGGGGGGGGTAAAAACAGATGGGTGTAACAAATCTACCAATGAACACCAACCAATTTTTTCTTATTTCGTGAAATGTTTTACACAACAATGAAGAAACACCAAATAATTTTCTGCATCATAAAGTCTAGTATTATTGCTCCAAAAATATATCCAAAGCAGCAATAAAACTATAGTTCTCTCCATCAAATAAGTATGTTTTCACTCTCAATAGTTCTCTACATCAAATAAGTATGTTTCCACTCTCAATTGTTGTTGTTATTTATGCCGATCAATGGACATAACTTACATTTTTCTGGGCATTACAATAAAGGTACATTACTAATCGTTTATCGGCGGATTCGATCGGTTAGGATTTTGATTTTTTGCATAATCAAAGCAGCAATAAAACTATTGTTCCCTGCATCAAATAGGTATGTTTTCACTTCAAAAGGGTATAAAATTCCATGTTGTTGACAAACTCAAGGGACATAATGTCCACGAAAAATATATCGCCATCCAAAATTATGTCCTTTGAATTGATCATTGTAAATAATAAGATGGTAACCTTTCTTAACTATTTTCATATATATATATATACTAAGCAGCAAAAGAAACGTCAGGTTGGTATGTTACTCTGAATAGACGCATTGCATATAACTTGCCAAATGTTTTTATTGGACATTTGTGACCATATTTCCAACTTTACCTGAGCAATAAGGCTCTTTCCCAAACACAGAATTGAGCCCAGGAAATGTTCTCAAAAACGCAACATGACTTCTGAGATGGTAATGTGTTCTCCATGATTTTCATGTAACTCATGCTGCACGTGCTGTTAACCGGAACCAGCCCTATAAAATGCACCTCCATACCTGGTTGAATCATTCACACTACAACGACAGCAGCATGCCACGACTCACGACAGCTCAGAGGAACCAGGCGCTTGGAAGACTCGACGTTGGCCACACTGCCGTTGCCAATCACTCCCAGGTCAATGTTCGGACCATCTACAGGCTTCAGCAACGCTTTCGGGCCACCAACACCACAGATGATCGCCCCCGAACTGGTAGACCAAGGGTTACCACAAGGCGACAAGACCGCCATGTTGTGCGAAAGCACGTGCAGAATCCCTTCACACAGGCATCTGAGACAGCACATCAGACAGTGGAAACACACGGAAGACCCATCAGTACCGATACAGTGCGCCGACGTCTTACCAGAGAGAACATCCATTGCCGTAGACATTACCGTGAACCGATTTTCACCCCTCGTCATCGACATGGACGTCTACAGTTTGCCCAACAACACCAGAACTGGCGACACAGGCAATGGAGAACTGTTCTGTTCACAGATGAGAGTCGGTATTGCGTATCAACTGCAGATGGCAGGACCAGATTAATTTCTTGAACCCCTCTTTAGAATTTACGGTATTCTTATAGTTACACTGTAATTTGTCAACCCGATAAGTATTTCTATCCGGTAGTGACGAATTTCTCCAGTTTATAACTTTAAAATTTCCAAATGAAGCAGTTGAAAATTGTTAAATGACCGATTTCAGTATTTTCGTATTCTTTGTAAGCATTTTGGTTTTGCTTAATAATCCAAATGTCCGTATGTATGAAGGATTTTAAAATTATGAATATAAAGTTCAGGTATAATAATGTCCGGAATGATGATTAATTGTGCAGAAGTAAAAATTAAAAGAATGTTTTAGTAGGTTTGTTTTTAACGAAAACTCGACATGTTTTTTTCGGATTCACATGGGTGTGTCCAAAGTCAACAAAGATGTTTTGATACATTTACACCCCCATCATCAGTAGTCTATCTATGTATGGCTTGAAAAAAAAAGAGTAGCATGATTAA